GATCTCAGCTCACTGCAACCTCCTCCTCCCAGATTCAAACGATTCTCCTGCCTCAGCCTCTGGAGTAGCTGGGATACAGGCGTGTGCCACCACGCCCGGCTAATTTTTTGTATTTTTAGTAGAAATGGGGTTTCACCATGTTAGCCAACCATGTTAGCGAACCATGTTCGGACTCCTGACCTCAGGCGATTCGCTCACCTCGGCCTCCCAAAGTGCTGGAATTACAGGCATGAGTCACCGTACCCGGCCCAATAATTTTTATTTATTGAGTGCCTATAACATGTTGGGCAGTCATTTACAGATGTCTGCCATCTTCACAAAACTGCAAGGATTATCCCCATTTTACAGATGAGGAAATCAGATCATGTCACTGCCTAAAACACCCCATTGGCATCTCATCACACTTACGAGAAAATCCAAACTCACCTTGGTCCCAGCACCAACTAGCTCTTTTATTTTTTTATTTTTTTTTGAGACTGAGTTTTGCTCTTGTTGACCAGGCTGGAGTGCAATGGCACCATCTTGGCTCCCCACAACCTCCGCCTCCCAGGTTCAAGCAATTCTCCTGCCTCAGCCTCCCGAGTAACTGGGATTACAGGCATATGGCACCACGCCCTGCTAATTTTGTATTTTTAGTAGCGATGGGGTTTCTCCATGTTGGTCACACTGGTCTGGAACTCCCAACCTCAGGTGATCCGCCCACCTCGGCCTCCCAAAGTGCTGCGATTACAGGCGTGAGCCACCACGCCTGGCCTTATTTTATTATTATTATTATTATTATTATTATGTATTTATTTATTTATTTTTTTGAGACAGTGTCGCACTCTGTTGCTCATGCTGGAGTGCAGTGGTGTGATCTCGGCTCACTGCAAGCTCTGCTTTCTGAATTCAAGCGATTCTCCTGCCTCAGCCTCCCAAGTAACTGGGATCATAGGCGCCTGCTACTACACCCGGCTAATTTTTGTATTTTTAGTAGAGGCGGGGTTTTGCCAGTTGTCCAGGCTGGTCTCGAGCTCCTGACTTCAGGTGATCCACCCGCCTTGGCCTCCCAAAGTGTTGGGATTACGGGTGTGAGCCACCATGCCCTTCCCGAACTGGCCCTTTTATACACTTAATGCCCAAAGTACATTTCCACCTTCATGTTTTGTAGGCTGTCTTTCCAGCTAGAATGCCCTGTCCCTTGAATGACACTTACCCAGATTTGGACTCAAAAGTTGCTTCCTTAGAGAAGCCTTCTGTTGGCCGGGCGTGGTGGCTTATGCCTGTAATCCCAGCACTTTGGGAGGCTGGGGTAGGTGAATGACGAGGTCAGGAGATCGAGACCATCCTGGACAACACGGTGAAACCGCGTCTCTACTAAAAATACAAAAATTAGCTGGGCATGGTGGCACGTGCCTGTGATCCCAGCTACTCAGGAGGCTGAGGCAGGAGAATCGCTTGAACCAGGGGAGTCGGTGGTTGCAGTGAGCTGAGATCGTGCCCTCCAGCCTGGCAACACAGTGAGACTCTGTCTCAAAAAAAAAAACAAAAAAAACAGAAGCCTTCTGAGTTGGGCGCAGGGCGCAGTGGCTCATGTCTGGAATCCCAACACCTTGGTAGGCCAAGGAGTTCAAGACCAGCCTGGGAAACGTGGCGCAACCCTGTCTCTACAAAAAGTCACAAAAATTAGCCAGGCTTGGTTATGCGTACTGGGGTAGTCCCAGCTGTTCTGGAGACTGAGGTGGGCCAATGTCTTGAGCATGGGAGGTCTAGGCTGCAGTGAGCCAAGATTGGGCCACTGCCCTCCAACCTGGGCGACACAGCAAGCAAGACTCTGTCCCCCACATTCCTCCCACCAAAACATCTTCCATAAGCAGACAGCACTCTGACTTCATTCATTCTCTGTCCCAGCGTAGTTTTATTTTTCTTAAAGCAATTCTTTTTTTTTTTTTTTCCAGACCAAGTCTCGCTCTGTCACCCAGGCTGGAGTCAGTGGTGTGATTCTGGCTCACTGCAAGCTCTGCCTTCTGATTTCACACCATTCCCTTGCCTCAGCCTCCCGAGTAGCTGGGACTACAGGCACCCGCCACCACGCCCGGCTACTTTTTTGTATTTTTAGTAGAGACGAGGTTTCACCATATTAGCCAGGATGGTCTCGATCTCCTGACCTCATGAGCCTTGGCCTCCAAAGTGCTGGCATTACAGGTGTGAGCCACTGTGCCCAGCCTCTTAAAGCACTTTTAAAACTTAATTTACTTGTGCCGGGTGTGGTGGCTCACGCCTGTAATCCCAGCACTTTGGGAGGCCATGACAGCCAGATCACAAGGTCAGGAGATGGAGACCATCCTGGCTAACATGGTGAAACCCCGTCTCTACTAAAAATATTTTTAAAATTAGCTGGTTGTGTTGGTGGGTGCCTGTAGTCCCAGCCACTTGAGAAGCTGAGGCAGGAGAATTGTTTGAACCTAGGAGGTGGAGGTTGCAGTGAGCCAAGGTCGCGCCAATGCACTCCAGCCTGGGTAACAGAGGGAGACTCTGTCTAAAAACAAACAAACAAATTCATTTACTTGTTTCTTGTGTATTCCTCCACTTTTTCTTTTTCTTTTTCTTTTCTTTTTTTTTTTT